CGTACCTCCATCTTCGTACCTTACCTCTTACCCCTACCCTACCCTACCCACCAAACCCCCACCCCGCATACCCATTTTTCCCTATAATGACCTTACCCCACCCCCCACCACATGCCCCGACCTCGGCCCCACACCGATCCACCCTACCCTACTGCCACCCCCCTACCACCTCGACCCCACCTCGATCCACCCTACCCTACCGCTACCCCCCTACCACCTCGACCCCACCCCGACCCACCCCACCCTAACCCCACCCCTCGTATATTACCACTTACCCCTACCTTACCCCTTACCACATGCCTCCTACCTCGGCCCCACCCCACCGCCATCCTACCCCCCACCCTCGTACCGCCATCCTACCCCCACCCCCACCCGGATCCCGGGCCCACCCTACCACCATCCTATCCCAACTCCCTACCCTACCCCTACCTTACCCCAAACCCTACCCACTACCCCCACCCTACCCCCCACCCTACCCCTTCTTTACCCCGGCCCCACCTCTGGTCCCGACCCCACCCTACCGCCAACCTATCCCAACTCCCTACCCAACCCCTACCTTACCCCAACCCCAAACCCTACCCACTACCCCCCACCCTTACCGCCATCCTACCCCCCACCCTACCCCTTCCCTACCCCGGCCCCACCCTGGTCCCGACCCCACCCTACCGCCATCCTATCCCAACTCCCTACCCTACCCCTACCTTACCCCAACCCTACCCACTACCCCACCCTTAACCCTAACCACGACCCTAACCCACCCACTGGCCCCACCCACCACCCCTACACCTTACCACCCCATCCCGACCATACCCCTTACCCCACCCCACCCATAACTTCCCTACCCCGACTCCTACGAGTAGGTATGGGTGGGTATGAAGGGTTGTGGTGGAGTATGGGAAGAGTGTAAGATCGTGGTAAGGGTAAAGGTAGGGGTCAAGGGTGTGGAATTGGAGAACTGTGTGAAAAAATTGATCAACACGTTTTCAAATTTGAAAATAGAAAACTAAAAAATAGAAACAGAAAATTGGAGATAGAAAAACTGAAAAATAAAAACAGAAAATTGGAGAACGAAAAACAGAAGTAGAAAACAGGAAAATATCTCTGTTAGTAAACAGGCTCTAATATTCTGTTTGAGTGATACACACACACACATATATATATATGTATATATATAATTTGGATAAAAAAAAGTTTTAACGTGTAAAATGTGCATCAAATAAGGTCTATTCGAAAGTGCATCAGATAGAGGTTATTGTGCATCAGATCGACACTTTGGATGACTGAGATTAATTCTCATTTTACACGTTAAAACTTTTTTTTATTTGATCCAAATTATATATATATATATATATATATATATATATATATATATATATATATTGAAATATCATTGTATTTTATTTTATGTTCTTATAGGGGTAGGTGCTCATTTTCTTTTGAATTAGTTTTTTTGTGCCGTTTTTGTGTGCATGATTGACCTATATATACTAACTTATGGTTCATATGAAATTTGATATTCATTTCATTATTTCAAAACATTAATTATTCATAAGATATCAAATGGAATGAGATTTTGATTAAATGTTTTACGAGAAATGTTTTCAAGTAATTGTTTTATGGAGTACTTTTATGGACAATTTAATTTACAATGACTTTCTTAAATTGTTTTATTATGTCAAATACTTTAAAGAAGTAAATTTACAATTTTGTATAACAAGTCCTTGCATTGACAAAGTTCTACCCTAGACCCTGACAAATAAAAATTGGCCATGCTCTGGAGTTTAAATTCTACATCTCATATTATTTAGGAATTTCGAATAAGGTGAATTTGATGAAATTAATGAAATTTTAGTTAGATGCTTGAGTTGACATATATATATATATATAATCTATTATACGAAGTATATATATATATATATATATATATATATATATATATATATATATATATATATACACATACATACATACATACATACATACATACATACATACATACATACATACATACATATATATATATATAAAAGGAACTTCAAGCTTATCTAATATATATGTTAATACATTAAAGAGAAAGTTATACGAAAAATAGCTAAAATAGTCTACTATATTAATGTCATCCAATTAAGCTGAAAAAGTAACTTCCAGAGATATTTTCCAGTTTTCCAGAAAAATGGAAAACTGGAAAACAGAAAATAGGAAACGTGTTTACCAAAGAAATTGCTGGAAAACTGGAAAAAGGAAAAAAGAAAAAACGTGTTTACCAAATCGTTTTCCAAAACGAAAAAAATGAGACATGACTCTCTTTTCCTTAATGATTTGGAGAAGTGACTTTTACTAGTTTTTCAAAATTGGAAAACGCAGATGCTACAGTGTCGCTGCAATGAATTTGCATACTTACACCTAGTGGTGGGTCCGGTCCCGCTCCGATATGATGTCGAATCCATTCCGGTACCTCCATCCTCGTACCTTACCCCTTACCCCTTACCCTTACCCTACCCACCCAACCCCCACCCTACGTACCCATTTTCCCTATAATGACCCTACCCCACCTCCTACCACATGCCTCTACCTCGGCCCCACCCTGATCCACCCTACCCTACCGCCAGCCCCTACCACCTCGACCCCACCCCGACCCACCCTACCCTACCCCCACCCCTACCTTACCCCTTACCACATGCCCTCTACCTCGGCCCCACCCCACCGCCATCCTACCCCCACCGCCATCCTACCCCCCACCCCCGGCCCCACCTGGATCTCGGGCCCACCCTACCACCATCCTATCCAAACTCCCTACCCTACCCCTACCTTATCCCAACCCTACCCACTACCTCCACTGCCATCCTACCCCCCATCCTACCCCTTCCCTACCTCGGTCCCACCCTGGTCCCGGCCCCACCCTACCGCCATCCTATCCCAACTTCTACCCCTACCTTACCCCAACCCTACCCCACCATTACCCCTAACCACGACCCTAACCCACCCACTACACCCACCCAACCCCCTACCCCTAGACCTTACCACCCCACCCCGACCATACCCCTTACCCCACCCCTACCCACTACCCCGACACCTACGAGTAGGTATGGGTGGGTATGAAGGGTTACGTTGTGGGGGAGTATGGGTAGAGTGTAAGATCGTGGTAAGGGTAGGGGTAGGGGTCAAGGGTGTGGAATTGGAGAACTGGGTGAAAAAATTGATCAACATGTTTTCAGATTTGAAAATGGAAAACTAAAAAATAGAAACAGAAAATTGGAGATAGAAAAACTGAAAAATAAAAGCAAAAAATTGGAGAACAAAAAACAGAAGTAAAAAACCGGAAAATATCTCTGTTAGTAATCAGGCCCTAACTTTTCTAGGGTGCAACTCGTTGAACGTTAATGTGCAACTGCTATTTTATGATCATATAATATGCAACACTGTGAACCTTAATATGCAATACAAATAACGTCAAAGTGAATCGTACAAACATTTGCACAATAAGCACCGTTTGTACTTGATCTTTCCCTTATAATTATATATATATATATATATATATATATTGAAATATCATTGTATTTTATTTTATGTTCTTATAGGGGTAGGTGCTTATTTTCTTTTGAATTAGATTTTTTGTGCCGTTTTTGTGTGCATGATTGACCTATATACACTAACTTATGATTTCAGAGATACTTCACTAGAGTGCCGTATCGGTGTATCAAAAATGTTCTCGTATCCGATACTCAAGGATACCCGTACAGTACGTTTTTGTGCCGTATCTCAAATTTTTAAAAGTTTCCATTTTTTGGGTAATTATTTTAAGATTTCGGATACTCGTATGTTGACGGATATCCGTATCAACTTTTTTTAAAAAAAACCAATGTTTTTTAGAAAACACCCAAAATTTACATAATAAATTTCTTTAAAAATGATAAACTAAAAATAATTTTTACTTTACTTTTATGAGGTATACAACTAATTGGCCTATTCCTAAGTCACTCATCCTCCTATCCCTATTTCTAATTATCCCTAAAAATTAATAGCTCCGAAGGAAATATGTTTTCTATCTTCATTATTCTAGAACTTTAAGTACTTATACTTTTAATTTCAAAATTGTAGTTGTTTGACTTATTTATCATTTTAAATTAATGACTTATTGACTATTTATATTTCGAGATGCACTAGTGTCTATGAGATAAAATATGAACTTATTTCCAAGTTTCTTGAAAATGTAAAATGCTTCAATGCCATGGATAGACGTCAGAGAATGATATATGTCTATTTTTTTCTTCAAAAAAGTGGCATTTTTAATATTTATAAATACACCCATGTAACTTTTAGTATTTATATATAAACTTCCATAACTTTTAATATTTATAAATATGACCCCGAATCTGTATCCTACTTTTTTTTTGTCTTATCCCCGTACTCGTTTCAGCGTTTCCGCATACTCGTATCAATGCTACTACATAGCTTATGATTCATATGAAATTTGATATTCATTTCATTATTTCAAAACTTTAATTATTCATAAGATATCAAATGGAATGAGATTTTGATAAAATGTTTTACGAGAAATGTTTTCAAGTAATTGTTTTATGGAGTACTTTTATGGACAATTTACAATGACTTTCTTAAATTGTTTTATTATGTCAAATACTTTAAAGAAGTAAATTTACAATTTTGTATAACAAGTCCTTGCATTGACAAAGTTTTACCCTAGACCCTGACAAATAAAAATTGGCCATGCTCTGGAGTCTAGATTCTACATCTTACATTATTTAGAAATTTTGAATAAGCTGAATTTGATGAAATTTAATGAAATTTTAGTTAGATGGTTGAATTGACATATTGATTTTGTTTAATTATGAAAAAATTATATTTAATATATATATATATATATATAAATATATATACACGGAGTATATATACATATCTTGTTAATACATTAAAAAGAAAGTTATACGGAAAATAGCTAAAATAGTCTACTATAGTAATGTCATCCAATTAAGCTGAAAAAGTAACTTCAAGCTTGTTTATTTTAATTATAACACAACTTTATATACAAATCAAACGTTATGTGTTTAATAGAGACACAATTACAAGTATCACACAAAAAGCCATCAAGTTATCAAACTCAATTATCGATCTTAACATACCGATAGTATACAATTAATTATCACCGTCTCATGAAAACCAGACAGTTAGCCTTCATCATCTAAATTGCATATACGTCGTACAATCTTGCTCCATCCAAAATTTCTTTCATTAAATTCCTCGTTTAAACCAATGAATCAAAATTTCAATGAATCTAAACTTAAATAGACCTAAAATTCTAGCTAAAAGAGACACAACATAATAGGCTAATAGCACACCTTTATTCCCAGGACCTGTCGAATATTCAAAAACATACTTTTTTTTTCTTTGAGCAAAGATCAGGGGCGGGCCGTAGCACAGATCCAGGGGCTACCGCCCCTCCAACAATTTTTTTTAGTGTATATATATAAGAAAAATAATTTTCGCCCTTTCAAAAAATAATTTTCACTCCCAAAAAATATTTTGAACCCTCCAACATGAATTTTCTCGGTCCACTCTAGTCAAAGATACCTAGATATAATAACAAGACTACAAGAGTTTTGGTAATGGGTATGCAATTATGCATGGACTATTTGACTGCTTAAACGGACCTTAAATAATTCTAGGTTGATGTAACCGTCGCATTAGACCATCCTAGCTAGCCTCTATAAATTATCATAGGAAATTTAAATAACAAATTCAGTATCCAAGTACCTACACTCGTATAGATGATCCATTAGTGTGACACCCCATTATTATGATCACAAAAAAAAATTAAAAAGTGAGATCCATTAACAAAAACTCAATTCGGCTAAATCATTCTGTCCGAAAAGGTGCTTACTTTCGTGAATCCCACCTACGCCAAGAAAATCCCTAGTCAAACTCAAATCCACTATTTGATCATGTTGGTTTCCCTTGTTTTGAATCATCATCCACAACCCATTGCTGTTATTGTTGTTGTTACCTTCACCATTAACCGCCATTCTCGAGTTCCCAAAAATGTTTTGATGATCTTGATGAAGAGCTTTTCCGGCGGTACTTCCGGCAATGTCGTTGAAGCAGCCGTTAATGCTAGAACCAGCAGACATGGTGGCCGGACACGTCAGCCCAAATTCATTCATCCCAAACAATGCTGCTGACTCCTTGCTCCTCCTTGACCCCATTTGTGCCGCCTTCTGGAGCAGCGCCGTCGCCGACGTATACAATCCCGTCACCGGCGGCGGCGCTTCTCGGCTTTGGTTGTAAAACAAAGACGTTGTTGTCATCCCGCCCCGCATGGGATCTTCTTCCCTTGGATCTGGCGGCAATGTCGACGCGTTGGATGGCGACGTCGGATTGCCGCCGCTCCACACAAACATCTCTTGAGGGAGTGTCATATGATGTTGAGCGTCATGAGAATAGGCGGCGGCAGAGTCCGGCCACAGGGGATACCTAGGTTTTTGACCATCTAGAGTGAGTTGACTCGCGGAGTCAAAGCAACCACCGCTGCCACCGCCCATTAAGTCGTGACAAGGCGGTGGCATCCTAGAGAAATGAGACCCAAATTGATAATGTTGGAGGGCTGATGAAAATAAGCCACCGCCGGCGGCGGAGCTGTTGAATAGATCCTGTCGACAGGTCTGATTGGGGGATCTTAGTGAAGTGAATCTTGAACTTTCTTCTGCTAAAGCATCACAAAAAGCTCTGTGTGTGATAAAACTATCCTTTCTGCATTATATATTCCATACAGAATGTTAGCCAATAAATTCAATCATCATTTGCATTAATGTCACAAACCATTCATGATTAAATACAGCAACCTACCAAGATCTATGTCATTAATGAATTCAAGAATCATGGGAACACTACAAAAATACGCCCGATCGATAGAAATATTTAGCGGGGATGTACCAAATTCGTGTCAAAAACACTTTGATGCGAGCCATTTGACACGAAATCATCGGTAAATCTGTGTCAAATTCGCACTAATCCCATAATTCTCTTGCAGTGAAATTAATTAATTTGAGTAAATATATGTCTGCTTACCTAGAGAAGAGAGTTCCACAGTCACATTTATACTCTCTAGTACCACAAATCTTATTATGGGCTTTCCAGTCAGAATGAACAGCATATTTCTTGGAACACTTATCACACTTCCACTTCTTCTCCCCATGTTTTCTACTGAAGTGTTTCTTGATCCCAGTCAAGTCTCCAAGAGCCCTAGAAGGGTGGTGGTGCACACAGCTCTTTTCTGGACATATGTAAACCTTCTTCCTCACCACCTCCTTGCTGCTTCTCTGCTTCAGCTTCCATGGCAGGTTGTGCCCTCTCCTGTGAAGCTGCAGGTTCTGGTCTCTCTGGAAACCCTTGTTGCAGATTTCGCATACGAAGCGGTTCGTCGCCATTAGAGACTTTGGGGACATGGCTATCACTTCTGCGTCCGGATCTGGGTTTCCAGGGAGGTTTCTCTTTCTCTTGGCTGGATTTGGGGTAGGGTTAGGGTTTTGGCTGTAACTGGCTCGGATGGATGAAGAAGATGAAGTGAGAGAAGAGAGTGCATGATTATCAGCTCCCATCATTTTTCACAAACACTTTAGGATCTGTAGCTTGCAGATTTTTTTGCTGAAAACAGCAAACTCCAAAACGCAGTCAGTTCAATCTAAACTAGAATCATGGAAATAACCATATTAAGAAAGATTATTTGGTTTCATTCGCAGATTCCTCTCTCAAGCCCTAGCTATCTCTTGTTTGAATCTTAGCAGCAGCAAAAGAACAGAGTTATATACTCCTCTACTACCTAGCTCCCCTTAGCTATAATAGGAAGGTAGGCATACACTACAAGAAAAGTGCACATAGACCGCACATAGACCAATTTTTTCTTTGCGATGGGCGCATAACTGTCGTTAAAAACATCATTAACCACACATTTTTTTATTTACCATAATGTTTTACCACGGCTGTTGTGGCGACGCACGTAAAAGTAACGCTAAACTATCGTAAATGTTCCTCCTTATGTTTTTACGACAGTTTTGCGACAGTTTTATGTGCGTCGGCACAACAGCTGTGGTAAAAACATTGGCAACGGTTAAAAATTGTCGTCTCTAAGCTTTTACCACATTTTTGTGTGTGGTAAATAAAAAATGTGTGGTTAATGGTGTTTTTAACGACAGTTATGCTGCCATCGCAAAAAAATTGTGGTCCATGTGCAATCTATGTGCACTTTTCTTGTAGTAGCAGATGACAATATAAATTAAAATAATTAACAAAACAAAAAATAAAATTATCATCTTTTGTTCCCGAAATAGAAATAATTACCGTCATGTTTTGACAATGTCAGACTTTAAACATGACAATATTTTTTAAAACTTGACAGTAATTACTCTTGTTTAGGAATAAAAACATGACAATTCTATTTTGGAATTCTAAAATGTTTTTACTCGTATATCACGATTTTCTTTATCACTAATACTCCATATAATCTTTTGTTCTCATACCTCACGTGATGAACTTAAATAAATAAATCTCATAAACTTTAGGAGACATTTGGATGAAGTTCACACTATAACACTATAAGAAAACTTTTTAAAATAATAATAATAATTAGACGATTTATATAGTTTATTACTCTGTAAAAGAGGAAAAAATATAAGAGACGGATGAAATATATAATTATAACTGTTTTAAGTTGTAAATCATATTAATATTAAGTGTGAGAAGATGTAATTAAATTGTTTAGCATTTATTACTTCATAAAAAATGTGTTTTTAAGCTACTTTTTTTAAAATTATAAAATCAACCAATCATTTACACATGTTTGTCGTCTACCCTCATCCTCTATCTAGACTCATTGTAATCAATGGGTTCCCTCACTTTTTGATCAGATATAGAATAGACTATCCAAAAATGAACAAGACTAATCGCTTAACATTCGAGAGATTCAAAGTGATTATCGGCCATATAGCCTAATTGCTTTCTCTCATTCTATCAATTCTAAACTCATACCATAAAACTACCTACTTGTCACTAGTTTTGACGGGAAAAATAGAAACAAAGAACTGAACGGAAACATAAAATTTAAAACATCTAAAAACAACTAAAAGAAACTTCCAAACCCTAGTTGCTTGTTCATTCCATGGCGAGGGACCGAGGGTTCAGAAGGGGGTGAATCAATAGCACTTCACCTTCCTCCTCCAAGAACAATTGATCGTAAGTCTGATCTAGATCATCATGCTCACCTTGCTTGTTAATCATCTCGATCGTTTCTGCTTGGAAATACATACGCCCTTCCATCGCAACCTGCTGCTTCGTCGATGTACGAACAGGGCCGGTCCTGTCCGGTTTTGGGCCTATGGGCGATATACTATTTTGGTCTTATTTCCAAGATAAATAGTAAATTACACTTACTTGTAAAAATTACGAAGTATAATAAAACTATGAGAAATTACTCTAAATACAACTGAAAACGTTTGTATTCCAAACAAATATTATCATATTTTGACAATATTATATTTTACACATGATAGTATGCTCTGAACATGACATTAATTACTCATATTCAGAAAATAAACACATGACCGTCCTATTTTGAAATTTAAAAAAAAAATACTCCTATTTCAAGAATTCTCCCTACAACACAAGTATTACGTGAATTCACCTTCATATTATGTGAATCACAAAAGAACATTGTGAAGTAAAGTCATCAATAACTGCTTCATAATCTATCTTTTCTAAGATCACATGTGCAATGTTTAAAATTGCTAATCCATTACGTTTTTTGAGGCATAATAGATAATTGGGATGATGTTTGAGAATTGGAAGGCACCGGCAGCCCAAAGACAATAATATAAATTGATAATTTTGTAATTAAAAGAATAAAAAGTCTTAAAGGTTAAAAAAATGTGAAGAGACATGCTTTTATTGATTTAACAACAAATGTGTTGACTTATAACCAACTCTATTTAAAAATCAAAACTAAATTTATATTTTTTTTAGAACTTGTCTAGCTCCGTTCAAGACTTTTTAGTAATATTTTAAAATTCTCAAATTGTCAACAAAAGTTATACATTACGCTTGATTAATTAATTGAAGTTATAAATAAAAAAGAAGTCTACTCAAATTACATATAAAGAAAAAACTTGGGCCTAATTTCTTTCAACTTTTTTTCGGGCCTAGGGCGGTCGCCAGGGGCGGAGTCAGAAAAATGTGTGAGGGGTGTCGGAATTTAATTATATAAAGTATCAAAATGATGGATATTTATTATACAATACTACTTGAGTTAAATGTTTCATATGTAGCTGAGATAAATGGTAATTTAATAAGCATTTTTCGGTTAATGTATTAATATATATGTAATATATCATTATGTTCACAAACTAATGACTGAATAAGCTATTTTATTTTTGATTTTAAGAATATAATCAACGTCAAACATCAAATTTTGCTTATTTCAAGTTAAGATGATGCTGATTTTTCCAGAAGTCATAATTTTTTACTCGTAATGAGTTACGAGACCCATAATATATCAAATCGAAGGTATTTTAGAGCTCTGCATTCTTGAACTTTCAGCGGGGTCAGCTGACCACCCTGACCCCCCTTGGCTCCGCCCTTGGCGGTCGCCCTTGCTGCCCTCCCCCTAGGACCAGCCTTGTGTACGCATCTAACTTCTACAACCTGCAAAGTGCAAACCTAGGTCTGCCCAAGACGACGAACAAATACTGAAGAAATACTGTTCCAACCTGCGTATAACCTCCGTATTCAAAGCCTGCGACCCTGCGATCGAGCTAGGCCTCCGTCATCAACCTCCATCTTCCCCTTACTACTTGGAACAACACCGCCGCCGAGCTAGGCCTCCGTCTTCAACCTGCGAACCCAGGTCTGATCTGCCCAAAACGCCAAATAAATCTAATATTTTCTAGTCCGTTTGCGTTCTCCCTTAAATTTTGTTTCATCTTGTTTTTCAATTTTGTTAACGTCTAAATTAATTTGTTTCTTTGATATCTTCTTTTTGTAATTCGTTGACGAAAATATTTAATGGTACATACTCCATATTAGATTTTGTTTTATAATTTAAGAAACAAAATTTGTTATATTATGTGTCTATGTATACGTAGTATTCTAATGCCTAATTTTTTAGATTGTGCCGAACTGCCGATTCTATAAACGATAAACAACTGATCTATGTATTATGTGTAGTGTGCATTATAGTTCGTACAAGCAGTCTTCCTATTACATGACAAGAACGTAAGTCAAAGCAAAATGACGAACAACATTTTGCGTCTCGATTTAAAAGGAGATTTATCGTGTACGTGTATACATTATAGATGGAGAAAGAGATATTTCCTCAGCTAACATTTAATTCTAACTTATTTCAATTAGTCCAGTGTAACTTAAGTCTAATTTATTTCAATTCTAACTTATTTCAATTAGTCCAGTGTAACCTAATTTTTAATGTTTTTTCATTTACCTATCGGCTTTTAATTTATGTCTACTATCAACACTATGATCTTCAATTCAGCTTTAGTTTTTGGATCCGCCTCTTTATTAAATATATATATTCCTCGATCTCTTACTACAACCTTCTTGTTAAAACTTAAAATTAAGCTTTATTTTCAATTTGAGTCCCCCAAAATAAAGTTTCGTCTCATACAAGATTTTTAGACGAAGTTTCATAACACCCTTTCTTTTTACTTACTTTTTGTTTGATTAATTGGACATAAATTAGGAGTAAAATTAAAAATTCAAAGCAAACTTTATCTTTCATAAACAAACTTTATCTTTCATAAACATGTGTAAGTCAAACGGGTAACTTGTTTGTTGGACAAATGGAGTAATATATAATCATGAATGTACTCACTTTGTATTCAAAATTCAAATGTTTATCACATCATGCTTTTACAGGAAAGTTAAACATGAAATGTTAGGGGGGGTGAATAGGACGTATATAAAAATGTAAGAAATAGGAAACAAAGATGAAAAGGTATGAAAGATGAGATTAAAAAGAGATAGCTAGCTAAATACGGATATATAGAGAGAGTATTATACGTAGTAATTGGATAATTTAAATACGTAGTATAATAATAGTAATATAAAAAAGATGACATGAATTATTGATATACGTAGTATATGTCTGCTCGCGAGCCCGCTTGTATTATCAGGTGCAGTTGCTCATTTTTTTTGAAAGAAAATGACTTAATTATCATTAATCAAATCGTTGGCTAATGCTGATACAATAAAAGATGGAGGAAAATCAATCCAAAACTGCGATTCAGGCAAAGAACAAGCCGCCTTAGCTAACAAATGGGCAGACTTATTCGCTGAACGCCTAATATGATTAAATGAAATACTCGAAAACGATTTCGCCAAGTCTCTAATGTCGTCCCTCAACAGTCCCACCAACGAACAACTCGAAATATTAAGGGCCTGTTTACTAACAGAGATATTTTCCAGTTTTCCAGAAAACTGGAAAACTGGAAAACAGAAAACAGGAAACGTGTTTACCAAAGAAATTCCTGGAAAATTGGAGAAAGGAAAAAAAAGAAAAACGCGTTTACCAAATCGTTTTCCAAAACGGAAAAAATGAGACATGTCTCTCTTTTCCTTAATGATTTGGAGAGGTGACTTTTATTAGTTTTCCAAATTTGGAAAACGCAGATGCTACAGTGTCACTGCAGTGAATTTGCATAATTACACTTAGTGGTGGGTCCTGTCCCGCTCCGATGTCGATTCCATTCTGGTACCTCCATCCTCGTACCTTACCCC